GAGGGGGAGGGATAATAGGGGAGGGTGGCCTGCAGCAGGCAGGTGACACCCATTCAGTGATAACACCAAGGAGGGCATACATAATGCCCAAAAGCCCTGCGCAATAAGGCGGTTTGGGGCGAGGAAAAGGTCCAGAATGGTCAAAGAGGGGAATTAGAGACTAGATAGGGGCGTCGCCCACGATTCGGGGTCTGTCATAGCCGAAAGGCTCGGTATGGACGTTAAACTTGAATAATAATAATAATAATAATAATAGAGCTATACCGAAGTATACCACTAGTAGTAAGAAGTCTTACTGACCCCCAAAGTAAGTATCTTAGTAACGATCTTGATGAGTTGAATTGAGCGCGAGTAAGGAAAGAACTAGATACATGACCAGAATTCTTCTTCCTTTTATAACCTTGTCATCATACCTCCTCATCATACCTTCCATCTGGGATATTCCTTTGGTAGATCATACCATCATACCAGTCCGTGCTTCTTGGTATTCTGGTATACTGGTCACGTGATCTTGTGCTTGCCCTGTTGCTGCCTTGCGGGGTTTCAGTTTCATCCTGCATTACTGTGTTGGACAGCGTCATTTCTTGTTGGTCCATAACAGTATGTACTGTGCGTGTTATTGCCAGATCCCGTTGGCTGATCACCATCTGTTTCCCTTGCTGGCCCGGCGCCCTTCCCAGGGTTATCCATGGACGTCACAAGAGCCCTTGATAGTTGCATCGAGTAGCAGGCAACCTTCCACCATGAAGACCGACTGTGCAAGCTCCCTATACCTTTGACAAGGACGAGGATCCAGCTCTGCTGTTGGATGCTGGGCCTCGACGATGGATATACGTGGCTATCACCCTTGACTCCCGTTTGAGCTCTGACGGCACATTGTCTCTCCATACGGAGTACTCCGTCCGTTCCGTCTCTCGCAGCAAGCCAAGAGAGGGGAAGCCCCGGGTGAGGCTGGGCCGCGTGGGAACGGGCGATCAGCGGGATCGAATTGCTCTCCAATCCGGTGACGTGACTCCGCAGATCTAGTTGGCTATCGTGGATACAATGTCGATCTGCCCCTCATCGGATGCACGGCGGGGCGCCGTATCTCGTTTATTCGATGTTAGGTGGAGTGTTCAGCCGCAGAACCACATTGTCCGCCTTGGCTGACATTATCCGCAGAGCGAAACCAAAAAAAAAGGAAGAAGGAGGAGAAAAAAAGAAATAAAGAAAAGAAAAGAAATGAAATGAATGAAAGACAGTAGCGACAAGGAAGGCTTCTGCACCTTTGCAGCACCGGATTTCTTATTCTTTGCTCGTCAGAAGTCGGGAACGAAACTGATCTCACTGCGTTCAAAACACGGAGAAACCCCCTGGAGACCTATTTATAGGTCTATTTAGGCAACTGTTGGGTAGTATCAATCGAATCCTACTTCGCTGGGCAAGCGAGCTGACGATCGGATCGAACGGGACCTGAGCATAACCAACGGTCGCCAAGGTTCCTATCCATGTGCGCATCGCGAGCAAGGCCACCACCTCGATGGTCCCTTGACAAGCCCAATCGATTCGTCAGGGACGAAAGGCGGGGAGTGTTTCCATGTTTGGACCTCGAGGACCGGGATGGCGCTCCTCGAAGTAACCGACAATGATCCCTGCCAGATGCTATGATATAACTACATAACAGGCACGTTCTTTCTTCCACTCCTTTTCTTTAAGTTTTTGTCTAGTGCCACTGGTTTCCTTGTTTATTCAGCCTACATACTAAGTAATCTCGAGTTTCCAAGATGTTGCGAAACCTTGCTCTCCTCCCGCTTACCTTGTCTGTGCTGCTTGGCCTTGGAAGCGCGCTGCCGGCTGTCAATACTGCGTCCCTGGCGACGAGAGCTTCCAGTGACTCGACTCCTCGCAATGTGATCTACATGCAAACGTTCCAGTACAAAAACGGCACGCAGGTGTCCCTCTTGCCGCTCCTGGAGCAAGACACCAAAGTCACCCATGTCATCCTGGCGGCCCTTCACATCAATCAGAATCCGGGAGATATCACGTTGAATGACCATCCCCCTAGCGATAGCTACTACGACTTCCTCTGGCCGGAAGTCAAGCAGCTTCAACAGGCTGGAGTCAAGGTCATGATGATGATGGGCGGTGCTGCTGCAGGCAGCTACCAGCGTCTCGCTTCGGACGTCAGTCCTCTTTGTCTCTTCTCCCGATTGCTCACCCAGATAGCTGACCGTCAGGAACAGTTTAACTCCTACTACCCACCCCTCCTGCAAGTCCTTAAAGACCACTCCATTGACGGCCTCGACCTCGACATCGAAGAGGACGTGCCTCTCACGGGCCCTCTTCAGCTCCTCCGGCAGCTCAACTCCGACCTGGGTCATTCTCACTTCCGCGCCGGTGGCATGTGCCTTGACGACAAACGGTGCCAACATCAACAACTTGAGTTACTTCGATCTGGATAACCAGGCGACCCAACGGCAAGCTCATCAACTGGTACAATGCGCAGGCCTACAACGGCTGGGGCGACGCGGGCTCTCCCGACACATACACCAACATCATCAATTCTGGATGGGCTGCTAGCCGCGTCGTGTTAGGCGTACCCGATTCGCAGAACGACGGATCTGGTTGGGTGTCGCTCCAGACCCTGTCCGGCGTCATCTCGACTCTCCGAAAGGACTACTCGGACTTTGGTGGCGTCTTTGGCTGGGAGTACTTCGACGCGGGCAGCAACGACAACCTGAGCGACCCGTGGGACTGGGTCAAGACGATTGGCAGCGACTTGACCGGCGCCCTGTCGAAGAGTGCCTCGGCGCTGGTTTGCAAGCCTCCCAAGCCCGTTACGCCGTTCGAGCCGCAGATGACCGAGCTTACGGCCAAGGGTGTCTCTTTCGGCGATGCCCTCGTCTCGCTCAACAAGACCGGTGGAGACCTGGGTCGCGCAAAGGCGATGCTGCACTTGGAATAAAGCGCATTCGCTTCTCATATGTCTCTTTGTCCATTGTGACCTTAATGGGGTATTACAACATGATGTTTTATTCAAGTTGGCATTTCTAAAGGCCTATTCAGTAATAACTACTGTAATTAGTCCTAATCTGAGGGACAAATGTAGGTATGGAGTAAAAGGTTGCAAATTTGAGCGTTGAAACTGACTACAATGACATATATGGTGGGAACAGTTCAACGTTGTTTCTATCTTATATTGTATCATTATCGTTGTGAATGAACGTGATTAGACCATGTTGCTGCTGTCGTTTACTGGCAAACAGACTGACTGGCAATGTTGGAGCAAGCCTTGTTGATCGCAGAACAATGCGCTGATGGATATATACATATATATATTTCAGCAACACAAATATCGCTCCCGTGGATGCAAGCCGAACATTCTCACATCGGTCAGCGGAAGCATGCCCCTCGCTATTAGTGGTGATGAAGCATCCTGCTGTTGATCTGAATAGAAGGCATCTTTTGGGAAGAACGGCTTTCCATGTAGCAGCTAATACGCGGCACAGAGAGAACTGACAACAACGCTGCAGGAACGGTCCTCGAAGCCGGAGAACCAGCACAGTCATTGATCCCAAGGACACTTCCGTGACGAGATTGACGGCCACGCAAATAGGATGCCCTTGCTATGGCGCCAAAGGGAAGTACACCAAGCTATCTTCCAACTATTTCCCGAGCACGAAGCCGTCAATGTGAAACGCGAAATTGGAAAGATCAGGCAGGTTCCTGCCCGGCTGCGTGCAAAGACCACGGCCAATTTGTCCAGCTCTGGCTGGAGTGACACTAGGTTTCTGTGAATCAAGATATGGAAGTCGAGATTCTCTGTGGTAGGCAAGACAAAATGGGCATTTGGTAATCGAGCGGATGTTGGAGCCGAATGAGGAAGAAAAGGATGTGCTAACCAGTCAACAAGCAATTAAATTAGGAGCTAAATTACAGTTTTACGAGTAATATCTAACTCTGTTCTATCTATACAAAACTCCTAGCTCTGAAAATCAAGTACGGCAAAGCCAACTCATTCCCTCGACCCTCCTGTTCAAGTTCGCTCACCACTTGGACAGCTTTGCCCAGTTTTCAGCCAGCCTGAAATAATCTCTGCTCCACTGATCAAGCATCCTGCTTACATCCTTCTGAAACGAGTCAATTCTCGCCTCTACGTCTTCCACCCAGTCAGGAGACTCTGAGGCACTCAGTGAACGCGACTCCGACTCCGATCCGAAATCCGACATATCATCGTCTCTTTCCACTCTCTCAACCACCCTCTCAACCATCCTCTCTCTTCTACTGGATCGCCATTGCTCAGGAACAGCGGTGGCAGCTCGCTGTTCTGACATGTACGGCACGTCGTCCTCCTCCCGCGCCTTTCTCTTTTGACATCCACAACTTGTCCGTGGTCTTTCCTCGCGTCGTGGAGATGGAGACCGGCGCTCTCCAGAGTCGGTATTGGCGTCAAGGTCAACTGGGAAGTCTCTGGAACTTCCTTCGGTGTCCAGTTGGTCGCGGAACTCGAGCCATTCGTCCATCAAACACCTGAAAACATCTTTCTTGTTCGTTCTCCGACGCGCACGACTCGGGTCCTTCCTTTCTTCCATAATCTCCTTCCGGCGCTGTGTTTCCCAGCGCTCCACCAGCTTCTTGGGATCCTCAATTCGTCTCCCCAACTGATTTTTTACCCGATACGCGCACTTCTGCCAGAAGTGCTCTTTGGGATAGGCATGGTTGGCAAATTGACAACGTCGATCTAGTACCCGCTGCATAATCCAGACAGTATCATCGTATGTCAAGGAGCGCGAGTCGTCAGAGGCCATCTCGACAAGGTCTGTGATGGACAGGGGTGGACGCTAATTAGCGACGTGATACGGTTCTGATTTAGAACGGTCTCGACGATCGAAGGTCTGTTTTGGATGACGAGGTCGAATCAAGTTGGAGAACCGGCCGCAAGCAGGCTTGGAAAGTTTCGGGCCAGAGAAGAGAAAGAGGGAAGAAGTTGACAGTTATTTGCTGAGCTTGAAAGAAGCAATGAACAGGAAAGGCAATGAGGAAGCCGATGAGTGAATGAGTAAGAAAAAAAGATTGCGCTGCTGGGAGATACCTCCATTGCTTAAGTGCTCTCTCTGGTCGAGTGTTCGTGAGGTTCGAAGACGCGTCTCGCTAGCTCGTTCACGCTCGAACCCTCTTTACGTGTCTGCGACTATTGGCCATTGTAACCGTTTTCGACCTAGAGCGACGCCATTCGACTGCTAAATGATCGTCCCACTCACGCGTCGCCGTAAGTCGCGTCGAGAGGGCGTGCATAAAAGCTGGTGGGTAATTTATAATAGCGCGAACGAAGACTTTGGGTCCTGACTATCATTGTACGGAGTACTCCTTACTCTGCACGGAGTAGCCTACGGAGTAGGTAGTTGATATACTCGGTATAGAAGCTGGTTGACAGCAGCGCGGATGGTTACTTCCTAGGTAGGAAGTCCGGAAAGTTCCCAAGTTTCCGCTGAGCCCATTGGCTCCGCGCTCAGCCCCTGCAGCTTGTCAGCTGTCACTGTCAGCCACCTGGACCCACCGGTGCGGAGGATTCGTGCTCACCGCCAAAAGCAGCGTGCTAGAGCGTGTCAAGATTTTGAAGCCTATCAAAGACACTATCGATTCATCGAAAAGCCCAATGAGATTTTTGCCCTTGCCAGCTGACCCAGTCGACTGTCGTACCAGCATCAGATCACTTGCTCCGATCCAACTTCTCGAAGAATACCTAAAACGACGTAGGGATTGCATGGAGGCTGCCAGAGCCAGAAGCTGCTGAGGTATAAACCTGTGCGCAGATGCTGTTGCCATTGCCTTGGCCAGTAGATGATGGATCACGTGAGATTGTTCCGATTGGAAATGAGCTTTTTTGCATGAAACCACTTCCACAACGCCTTTTGACTTTTCCCTTGTTAATGAGTCTCGTTACGTAGTTAGCTAGCTGCCTTGATCCCTTCGGCGTTCTGCGTCCTAGCCATCATGTATTCAGCTCTGTTGGACTTAGCCAGCACGGAAATAATATTAATTCGCCAGGGCCCGTCTGGAAGACTCGATGAAAACAAGAGACAAAAAAAAAGAATTGTATCCGAACAACCATGGAGTGCTCCGGTGGAGATACAGGTCTTGTGGTGCACACTGCGGATCCCATAAAAGGTTTCCGGCGTGAAGTCGGCAATGCAAAAGTCACTGAGTCCATAATTACAGAGGCCCGTACTTGCGCATCAGGGCGTTCCAGTACGATTGACAAATTCCAGCGCATGTCACCAAAAGAATGCGATTCAAATAGTAAAGCGGGGAGATACGAAAATACAAAGTAGGAACTTTTCTTGATTACAATATCAGTACAGCAACTACCTAGGTAGCGGTAACTTTGTCCGAGAAGGAACAAGTAGCGGATCTCACACATCTATATATATATATATCCAGCTGCCATTTCCTCTTCACGACGGAAACGTGGAAATGGCACCCCATGGCTGGGACCATCATTTACAACACAAACACGGCAGACATGGCGAGTGCGCCCAGGGTTAGCCAAATCGGGGTCTGGAGACGCTCGGCCATGCTCTTTGAGCTGGTGGCTGTGGCCGATGCCGCAGTACCAGTGGCAGACGGGTTGCTCGACTTGGACAACGGCTGCCCGCACAGGCCGGATCCGTTCAGGTTGAAGGTCGGGAAGAAGACGCGCGGCTGGCCCTTGTCCATCGGGACGACGATGGTGCCGTTCTCCCCGGCCACGACGGTCGTCTTGCACTCCGTCACCTCGGTCAGGTTCGTGCCCGGGTCGGCCGCACCAGGCACACTCAGCTGGTATGCTCCGCCATTGCTACCCTGGTTCGACAACACCGCGACGATCTGCACGCCGTTCGGGCCTTTGCGCGTCGCGTACGTCGACCCGTCCGTGTAGAGGATCTGGCTCAAGTTGGTGACGTAGTTGCTGTCGACCGAGATGGCGTGATTCCGCAGCTTGTTCAGCGACGCCGTCAGAGTGTATAGAGGCGCCGACTTGTTGTAGTTGGTCGGCCACAACGCCTGGCGGTTGTACGGCGAGTAGTTGCCAGTCAGGTGCTGCTCTTGACCGTAGTAGACTTTGGGGATTCCATCGGCCAAGATGGTGAAGGCCAGTGCGTTCTTAGCCAGCTGGAAAAAAAAAACAAGTCAGTTTCACGAAATCAGGGCAAGAGAAGGGGGACTGACCGCCAGGTCCTCCGTAAACGAGGCAAACCGCGGGTTGTCTTGGTTTTCAATAAAGGTCGCCAAGTACTGCGTCTTCGGACAGGCCTGTCGCATCGAACCCACCATCGACACGAGATCGGCCATCTTTCCGGCCGTGAATGCCTCTTTGATGGTGTAGTAGAGCGGGTAGTTCTCCAGTCCTTCCGTCAAATTCTGGTAATTGCAGGTGAACTGTGCGTCGCCGTCGTCCACTTCGGCCATGGCATAGACACCCGCGCTCTTGAGGAAGGGCTGGAAGAAGCTATACTCGATCTGCTTGGCGCCGTCCACACGGATGCCGTCGATGTTGTAGGTGCCGACCAGATCCTTGATCCACTGGTTGAGTGTGTTGGCGATGTTGGGGTCCGTGGTCTTCAGCCGCGGTGTGGCCACGCCCTCGTAACCCAGCCAGCAGTTTTGGAACTCGGTCTGGTTGTTCCAGTCAATGATCGGGCAGTACGGAGTGAAGTCCTTCGAGCTGTTGAAGGGTACAAACACCGAGTAGTCAATCGGAATTGTCGAGCTCATGTTGGCGTTGCCAATATCGTAGGCCATCTCGTTTGCGACAACGTCCACCAAGAGGTACATGCCGCGCTTGTGCAGTTCCGAAGCGAGGTTCTTGAGATCATCCGGCGACCCAAAGTGCGGATTCAACTCGTAGAAATTCTGCGGCCAGTATCCGTGATAGGCCTCGCCGTAGATGGTATCCTGAGGCAGATTTTCGTTTATGGGCGAGATCTGGACGGCGGTAAAGCCCATGTCCTGGATGTAGTCAAGCTGGTCCACCAAACCTGCCCAGTTACCACCGCAGTATTTGGTGATGTTGCAGGGAGCATTCTGATCTGTCGACCGTGCAAACCGGTCGGTGATGACCTGGTAGATGGACCGCTGCGCCCACTCATCGGGCGTCGCGGCCTGGGAGCATCCTGCCAGACCGGCGAGGACCACCGCGATAGACGTTGGGAATTTCATGATGGCGGCGCGATACGAGAATCAAGTGAGCGGAGCGGATCCGATGGGGTAGAGATAAGAACGAGATCGCAGGCTTGGCGAGTCCCGATTAATCAAAATTCAAACGATTGACTGTTGGCGGCTCAAGCGAATGTCAGCCCGGAGCGACTGGCTCAGGACATGAGAGAACGACAGAATCATGCAAACGAGCGAGGACGCAGATGTGTGAAATGCAGACTAGAAGAGGACGAAGCAGCCAGCGAAGAAGAGGAAAAGGAGGAGAAAGCAGGCCCTGGAAGCCGTGTGCGAAAGATGACGCGGTTGCGAACAGGCCCGAGTCAGCCAGCGCAATGTGATTGCTGCGACGGCTCCCGCAGCCACAGGTTATCGTCGACTTGTCCCAATCATCGCCAGCGATCAGCGTTGCTGCCCGGCTTTGCTGGAGGGACGGTGCGTGTGAGAACGTTGCCGGGGGGCGGCCGGCAGCCGCTCTCATAGGCTGATCCGGGCGATTCGTGCAGCAATGCCAAGGTGAAGGTCGCGATGCCACAGCATCGTGGCTGCGGCCCCTTGCCATGGCTGTGGACTAGCCAGGAATCCGGATGGGCCCGCTGAGTTGTGATTGCGGGGAGCGATAAGCTCGCAGGAAGAAGGTTCCAGCAACGAATTGTCTCGTCGAGTCGACGTGGTGCGATCGTCGGCCAAAGCCCTCGCTCCTCATTAGTTCAATATCATCGCTGCTTTGCAAGAGAGTACTCCGTACGTGGAATTTGGAAGAGCACGCTCTCAATCTGCTGTGATAAGGAGGGCAGGCAAGCTCACCTGCTCCAGGAACGTTACCTTCGCCCCCAGCCTGGCTGAGACATGGATGGAGCCCGGCGCGGCGCTATCCCGTTTTGGGCGGACAAGGAACCACGGGACGGAGAGTTACATCGCCAGCGTCCATCTCCGCCAGTCAGTGCCCGCGGATCGACTGGATCCATCGAAAAAATTTGCCAGCAGTCGGGGCCATCATCATCACAGTCGTCCTCGTGTCGTCGAGTGACTCGAGTCTAGACCAGAACCTGCTAGCACGGCCCATTCCCCGCATCTTTCCTCGGCATGTCCTCCGTGCGATCCCTGGGAATTTGATTTTGGAGGGGAGAAAAAGAACGAAAGGCAAGGCGCAAGGAGGGGGAAGAAAGTCAAAGTTATGAGACAAAAACGCCGGTGTCATATCGATTTCGTCGACTAACTCTTGTTCTCTATGCGCAGGGCCAATACGACTGTGATCTTGGGATTGGATCTGAAGAAAGACCCCGATGTGTTGGAAGAACGGAGCGAGGAAATTGAATTTCCTTCCGCCGTTCTTGCCTGTCGCTCACACAGACTGCTATATCGAAGACCGAAGGCCACGAGGTCACTGCTAATCCGGTCAATTGTCATGGCTCTCATGCCATCGGGATAGTCGGCATTGTAAGATTGAACCAGAAGCTGGGTTCCGTCATAAGCACCTTCACAGGATCCGTACCCTTGTGCCTCCCCCCTTGCTTCGAATACTGGTAAAGAGCGAGTCATCGATGCAAAAGAGGCCCATTACGCTGTTGCAAAGGTATTACAGGCCACCTGTTGGCTGCAACTGTCTGTTGTTCAGTCCAAGACAGGTTGTTGCTCTTCCTTCCGCATCCAGTGACTTTACCTGAGGTCGCAGAACGTAATCACCTTCTTCCCCCTATATGCTGAACCTGGACTTGCGATCTGCACTTCGAAGTGAACCAGTGACTGCTGTCTGTAAGGCACTGGCCATTGACGGTCTCGAGCAAAAAAAAACGATAGTTATTACGGCTGTGCCACTAGTGACAAAGTGTTGTCGCTGTCTCTGTTATTTTGACGATTTAGGAACAATCGGCTTCTGAATGGAGTGAACGGAGAAATGGTGATATGAACGTTTCTAAGAGATCGAAAACTAGAACCGGTAGACTGCAGGATTTCGGCTCTTGAAGCGAGTTTAGTGAAACAGTACAAGAAAGACAAAATCCAAACGAGAAACAAATGCTTCTATGGCCAGCCATAATGCGGTGATTTGTCGGGTCAAGCGAGTGTCAGATAACGTTTGAACACTGAAACAAAGATACCGGCCCCTCCGAGTGATAACCAACACATTGTTGAAGGTATCAGCATGCCATACAACACATTATCAAACCTTCAGGTCAATCAGTTCCTCGTGGAGACCCTTGGGCTCTTTAAGGGTCTCAACGATTGTTCGAATCCTAGGCTGTCGACATGTACTGAGAACATTGAACACAGCCCAAGAGCCCTGCAGGTTATGCTTCTGCGGGCCACACAAATATTAATCAACGCTGCCTGGATTTGATGGCGTCCAATTAGGTTGCCTGTCAAATTGCCAAGCGTTTGGTCCGGACCAATGACGGCACTGCCCGAAGCGCAGCTGCCAAGCCACGTGCATAGGAGCTTCCTTGGCGGTGATTCGGGGCTTCTTGGCAAGCCAACGCAGTCAAAAAGGGAGAAGAGAGTAGATTAGACCTCTGCGTTCGCATTTCACGATCCCGGCACGAACGGTAGTTTAGCCTCAGCCCTATCGAGTCCGGAACCAAAGGCTTGGGACGATTTCAATAGTCCAAGATGTGCGCTAAAAAACTTTAGATTAGATGCCGGGCAGTTGATAAGCGGCCATTCGTTACGAGGCGTAAATGGATGAGAAAGCCCTGCCAGCCCCCAGATACCTGGTTCTCGTTCTTACCGAACCGTTGAAAAATATCTTCCACCTACATAGACGTAGTAGGCATGCTGAAGCCATGCGCGACTACACCTGAAAAGGAAGCTGGCGCAGATTAGGCCCCTTCCCTGAATAGTAGATAGACTCTTGGATATACTGGTTCACGTTGATACCTCTCTAGTATCAAAGAGTCTCTTACAATCCACTGGATGTCGTGATGCAGGCTCACCTGACAGACATCGAGCTAAAATTTTATCTTCATAGAGAGGAGATATTTGATAAATTAATAATATGAATATTGCTAGCCCAAGAAGATATGATCATACTCATACACCAGCCCAATGCCGAAGATGAACCAGACACTCATACAACACACCCATGCATCGTCACCTATCTCTCCAGCGCAAGTATTCAGAGCCTGATCGAGTGCTGATGATATTCGATCACTCTGGTTCAGGAGGATCTTCAGAATCGAAAGTGATCAACTTTGGTAGATGACCGTAGCAGGCACTGTAACCTACGATCCCGTGGTACGGTACGCTCTTGTCGTCGAGGTCATACTCTAAAGGTACCTCAAATTTTGGACCGGTCGGGAATTTAATTTCCTTCCGAAATATGGCCTCATGAGTGGGACAGCTATACTTGTTGTCTATAGTAGATCCAAGCACTAGGTCGATTCGACATGGCGCGTCAAAATAATCACGGAACTTGTTCTTGGTGCTGATCACATTTATCAACGCTTGACGGAAATCCTTGTCATCAATCTCAGGATGGATGCTGCAGAGGATTGCCGCAAATGGCGAGACAATTGCAATCGCCGAACCGCCATGGAGGTCCACTGTTTGCAGCTGCTGCACTGCACTGAATTTCGCAGTGCAAATCTTGTCAAAGTCAACAAGTACAGGCCACTGATCTGAAACCATATCAGGCACCTTGGGTGCGCCCTCGGGCTTGTCAGGAACCTCGCTGACAAAACCGGCGACCATTCGTTTCTCCTTTTCTATGTGAAATGGAGACATCTTCGTTGCCAACTGCTGAAATAGCTCTGGGTTTTATATCTAGAAAGCAAAGAGATATAGGAATTAGTGTTGTGTTTTATTTAAGGAACACTCATCAAAGAAATGTAAGGTAAAGGGGATCGATCCATCGACGGCAGCACATAACCATAGTTGTCGAGTCTGGCGAGCCCAAACCAGATAGTTTTGTGCTACTCGATAAACAGGAATGCTTACCGAGTTAGGTCGACAAGTTTAAAGGCGTATATGTATGTATGATAACACTAGGTAGATATGAAATTCGTTGAAAGCAGGCCGGGATCGGTTTAATATGCCCAAATGGGCTTTCCTGGGATGTAGGAAGAAAGAAGAAATAATGACGCGAAACGAAGCAATTCCCGGTTTATATATCATTGCTCTATACTGACTCAGTTCTGAGTCAAAGAGGAATGGGAAACTAGACCTACATTGCCTCGAATCAAAAGAAAAAAAAAAAGTGCTATTAACGAGCAGGCGTATTCACTGTGAAGAATAGGGTCCATTATGGATCCCCCCAGATCTCCGCCATTTTGCTTCTGTTTTGTCGCGACGTAGCTGATTTCTTATCTTTGCCAAAGAATCATCTACGATGAGAGTGGTAGAGATACCCTGGGGCGAGGATGATTATGAAAAGTCAGAGGCTATGCACCGAACGCACCAAACCTACGTACCAATGGTAAGAGAAGCCTTGCCGGAAGGAAAGGAGGCGGGAAGAAAGAAAGGAATAAGACGGGGGGAAAAATTACTCAGAAGTCAAAGGGCCACATTTTGCTAAGTCAGTGCTAAAGGTCTGATATGGATCACTGGATCCTTCCCCCGCCCCCAACGGAAGGATCTAGGATCGACTTATTGACTCATTAATAAGGCAACGAATCTCCATCCGCACCTAAGACATCAGGCTCCCCCAGACGTCCTAGCCACCGGACCTTTGGCTGACCAAGAGGCCACTACATACTATTCTCGGCACATGTTGAATTCACGTTTCCAGCTCCCTCTTGTCCTCGAGATACGTTCTAATACAACCCCAATGAAAACGACTTAATTAAAGATAGAATACTTAGGCAGGCGAGCGGTTAAATGCAGGTCCCGCTCTGCCAAGTTCGCCGAGATATCAGGGTTGGGGGCTAGAGTGTGGTCCGGTGCAATAGGAGAATATGTACATTGATCAACCATCATTCTTGCCTTATGAGAGAGGCATCAGATAATTTATTTATTTAGACGAAAAAGGGTTATAAAGGCACGTTTCCCTTCCTCGCTGTGCCCATCATCATCAACCAAACTCCAGCGAACACCTTCAGATATCAACAATTACATCCTACCTACGTATTGCACCTACCACCTCTTTCTTATCGTTCAATTCTTTTCCTAATATTCACCAACACAATGAAGACTCCCACTGCTACGCTCATAGCTATTGCAACCTTTCTCCTCTCAATCGGTGGCACAATGGCGGCTCCTGCCTCGGTTGCGGCTGTTGAGGTCCGGGATACGATCCAGCACTGCCCGGAGGGTGTAGTTCACTGTTTGCCGGTGAAAAACTGATCATAGGTACGCTTTTCCTTTTCCTTTTCCTTTTGCTTCGGAAGGAACTGATTTTAATTTTGCATTCATTCTAGGTGGCATGCAGTCCTGCAAATTAATATTCGCTCGCTTTGAGATTAGTGGCGAATTCGGAAAAGCAAACTCTCATGTATAATATGCCTTCTTTCAAATTTCTATCTGTGACATATTTTCTCTAGTGTTCGCTTTTGCAAATGGATTGACTTCAGTTTCCATAACAATCGAAGTATGTAACGCTCCTCCATTATAGAAAGCTTCCGTGGTTGGCCAGAACACAGTAGTGACTTGGATTCGTGGCGAAGGGCATCTTTATGAATTTTGACTTGTTAACAGAAACTTCAAGACTGGATGCGGCCACACCTTTGGATTGTAGTTAGAGCTATCAAACAGATTCAGTGCCATTTGATAGACTGTCACATTTATAACCATGTAAAGAGATAGAATTGTCTTCCACTCTTATATTCACAAAGACAATGATTCCTCTTATCACACTGCCTGCTTCAGGACGCATCTTCACAGTCGTGCCTGAGAGCAGGGACAGCCAGTCTGGTTAGAACTTAAACAAATCCCAGACTCCACTACTCAGTTTCATCCTCTCTTAGGAACTCAATCTAGGACATTCTCTTCACATCCTGGTCTCATGTCTCTATCTTTCAATGTCTGCCTACTGCCACCATGCCATACAAGCACCAGCAGAGCAATGATGATGAATCAGATGACAATGTGTCAGGAACACTGTTGTAACCGGCCGAGATCGGTCCCTGAATTTCGGGTTCTTTGATACTCCGTAACTAACTAAGTTAGTTTAACTAACGTAATCCACCACCGAGCTGGTCACACCACCGAGCTGGTCAGCCACAACACCAACACCGAGTTTTTGACTATTACTACCACCACCACCCACCACCACCTAATGGCCGATATATCTAGGGAGGAACGTCTTCAATTGGCCCTTCAGGCCTATAAAAAGGGCCAATTTCCATCAATCCAAAAGGCTGCAGATGCATTTGACGTGCCTAAAAGCACCTTAATAACACGTGTCAGTGGGACTACTTCTCGCAAAGATTCAATCGCCAATTGTCGAAAATTGACAGAGACTGAAGAGAATACACTTTCAACATGGATT